AGAATTTTATTATTTATGAAAATAATTGAATTATTACCCAAAAATTTATTAAAATGTTTAATAAGAATTGAATTTCTGTAAAAAATTTTGTTATTTTTAAAAATAATTGAATACTTCATAAAGATTTTGATAAACATTGTTTTAAATAATTAAATTTTTCGAAATTTGTTTGAAAATGATATTCTGAATTAATAAAATTCCTGTGGAATGAAATTTCATTATTTATAAAAATAATTGAATTTTGGATAAATTTTATCAATTTTTTATTTTTTTTGTAACTAATTGAATTCTTTTGCGAAATTTTATGAAAATGCTGGATATTGAAAATAATTGAATTTCGAATATATTTTGAAAATAATTGAATTCTTGTGATGAATATTGTTATTTATGAAAATAATTTAATTTCAAAATATATTTTAAAAATAATTGGAAATCTTCGATGAGTTTTATTATTTATAAAAATAAATTGAAGAATTGTACAAAAATTTTGTTAAATAATTGATTTTTTCGAACCTTTTTGAAAATGCTGTTGTAAATTAATTGAATTCTTGTGGAAATTTTATTATTTATGAAAATAATTGAATTTTAAATGAATTTTAACAATTTTTTTTGAATAATTGAATTCTTTTGCGAAATTTTTCTGAAAATACTAAATATTGAAAATAATTGAGTTTCGAATATTTTTTTCTTCCCATTGTTCGCCATAATTTTCCCACAGTTAAAAAATGAAAAAAATAGTTTCACATCTTCTCATGGTTCGCAATACTTTGCTTATGGTTTAAAAATGAAAAAATTTTTTTTTGAAAAAAGAAAATATTTTCACGTATGGAAAAATGATTGGCTGTGAGGAAAAATGATGGAAAAGAAGAGAAGACCAGGGAGCAAAAGGGCGTGGGCGCCCAAGGCCTTCTGCTCGCCATTTACGACCAGGTAAAGCCGGACACTGGCGTTGAAGAGTGGTGTGTGCTTCGCGTCTCTTCAGAAGAGGTTTATATATGTATATAATAAAGAGAGAAAGAAAAGTCGTTCTTCGGCCATTTCGGTATAAAATCTTTACAAGTGGGTGGACCGTGTGCAAAAGTTCAACAAGATTTACGTGAAAACGTAACAACGAACGTACTATAACTCACATCATCGATTTCTGCATTTTATATACGCGCAACCCCGCAAACACAAGTTCTCTGGACTTTCGAAAAGAAGAAGAGAGAGAAAAAGAAAATAAAAGAAAAAGAAAAGAAAAAAAAATGAGAGAAAAAGAAAAAAAAAGAGAAAATCAACATAAAATATGTTAAAGCCAAGTCAAAAATGATATTCAAGACTTCCCTTATATGTAACACAAGAGAACCTGCTTCGCTTTGTTTAACATTCGCCATGTTTTAACCAATTTCTCCTACTGTCTTTATTATTTTCGTTTTTTTTTCTTCTACTTCTTATTGTTGACGTTTTTTTGTCAGTCGATGATAACTTCGTGTTCTCTAGTATAGGAAAAATTCTGTTTTCGAACTCATTTTTCAAATTTGTTTTCGAATTACATTTTTTGTCGCCACTATTTCGCTTCACTTCGTTTGTGAGCGAACTTTCATGCCATCTAGGCGGCGATTTAATAAACTACATTGGCGAAAAATTCAAAATAAAAAAAATTCCCATTAGAAATTTTTTCAAGAGAATTTAAATATTTAAAAACAAAAATAAATAATTTATTGAATAATTGAATGTTTCTGAAAATTGAATTCTCATAAATGAATATATAAAAATAAATAATCTATTGAATAATTGAATTCTTATAAATAAATAATTTATTGAACAAAATTTGTAATTATTTGGATCCAAGGCCACAATTAACAACAGTATTCGACAAAAATTAAGGTCCTTGAAAAAAATACCGAAATTAACAAATTTTTAAATAATTCAATTCTTTCGACGAATTTTAACAAAATTTTTAAGAATAATTGCCTTTTTCAAGGAATTCAATTAAAATTACACTAAAATTAATTCAAACTCTACGATAAGTTTTATTATTCATGAAAAGAATTGAATTCTTACGAATATTTTTACAAAAAAATGTTAAAATAATTGAATTCTGTTTTGGAAATTTTATGAAAATAGTAGATATTGAAAATCATTGAATTGCGAAAAGGTTTTAAAAATAATTAAATTATACAAGGAATTCTATTAAAATTTTTAACAATAAATTGAAAGTCTGTGTGGTATTTTAATGAATTTTTTTTTAAATAATTTAATTCCTAAAAAGAATTTTATTATTTATGAAAATAATTGAAATCCTGCGAACGAATTTTATTAGAATTTTTTTAAATAATTGAATTTCCAAAGAAAAAATTTATTTCTTTTAAAAATAATTGAATTCTTGTGATGAATATTATTATATTTATGAAAATAATTGAATTTTGCAAAGAATTTTATTAAAATGCAACAAAAGAATTGAATTTACGGGAATAATTTTGTTATGTATCGATATAATTGAAATCTTTCCAAAAATTATTTATGTAAATAATTGAATTCTTGGGAAGAATTTTATTAAAATCTAAATGAATAATTGAATTTTAAAAAAAAATTGTATTTAAATTGTATTTAAAATAATAGATTTCTTTCGAACAATTTTAGTAAAATATTTGGAAATAATTGAATTTCTGTGAAAAATTCTTATATTTTTGAAAATATTTGAATTCTTCCAAAGAATTGAAAAAAAAAACAATTTTTTAAATAATTGATTTTTTCGAGGAATTTAAATTAAATTTTTAAGAATAATTACATTTCTCGAGCAATTCCTGTAAAATTCTATTAAAAATAATTTAAATCCGGCGATGAGTTTTATTATTTATAAAAATAATTGAATTCCTGAGAAATTTTTATTATTCATGAAAAGAATTGAATTCTTACGAAGATTTTTATAAAAAGTTTTTTGAATAATTGAATTTTTTGGGAATATTTTATTAAAATAGTAGATATTAAAAATCATTGAATTTAGGAAAACTTTTGAAAATAATTGAATTTTATCCAAGAATTTTATTAAAATTTTTGAAAGTAATTGAATTTTGGAGAAGAATTTGATTATTTATCACTAAACTATTGTAATTTTGACAAGAATTTTTTTAAATTGTTACTGTAACTTCTTCAACATTATTTTCATCATTTCAATTCAATTATTATTTTCTACAATCTTTAACTAATATTATTCTTTATTTGCATTATTTTTAATAATTTTCAAAACCATTTGTTCACAATTTAATTTTACGAAATTTCGATTATTTGTATATTAAAAAAATAAAAGCCTTGAAATAATTTGTTTAAAAAATTCAATTAAACTTTTTCAAAAAAATTAATTTCACAGAATTGTTAATTGAAAGTATGAAAAATTCAAATTTTCAAAAATTTTAATCTAAAACCTTTTCAAAATTCAATAAATTAATTCTAAAAAATTAATGCTTTCATGGTTTTAATATTTAATTATTATCTAAAATTTTGACTGAAATTCAATTTTAATTAAATTTTTACTAGAAAGTTTATGAAAATTCAATTATTTAAATACAAAAATATATAATTAATATAGTAGATATTGGAAATCATTGAATTGAGAAAAATTTTTGAAAATAATTGAATTTCAGCGAAGAATTTTATTACTTTTGAAAATGATAGAATTTTTTAAATCAATTCTAACTTGTCTAAAATTCAATTTTTTTTTGTGTTTCTAACTAAAATTTTTCTCTAAATTTATTACTTTAATAATTAATTAAAAATGAATTAAAAAATTTAACTAATTTCAGAAGAATTTGAATTATTAAAATTTTTCAATAAATCTAAGTTCTGTAAAATTTCTAAATTAAATTCATTGAAAAATTCTAAAATTTCAAATTAAAACGCCTTTTGAAGTTCATCTGTGCTTATGAAAATTGTAAACGTTACTTTGTAATTCTACTTTTAAAGTAGAATTAATTTTGAAATATTTAAATACACTGAGAGAGTTTATATTAAATTTTGTAAAAGTATTTTACAAACTGGAGTTTATTTTTATTTTATTTCTTCAAAAAAAAAAAAATTATTGTCAGAAATATTTATTTATTTTTTATACAAGATCGTAGATATAAAGTACAGTCCATCGAACCCTGGTAGTACAGAATTGAAAAAACAAAATTTTTTTTTTCCCCAAAAAAAGAAAACGACCTCAGTTTTACTCTAAAATTGCCGTAAACCTCAAAATCTCTCCTAAGGGGAAAAAAAAAGAATACAAACATGCGCAGAGTATTGCCACCCCCCTTTCAAAAACAGAGAGAAAAAAAAATATAAAAACTTGAAAAGGCCTCTCACCTTTTTTTCAGAGCAATTTAACCCCATGCTTTTTTCCCATGAAAAATAACGACTTTGAAGAGGCGCGGTAAAAGCGTCCGACCTAAGACCTATTACCGTCTAATTTTAATGCTCGCCGTCGAAGAGCGTCGAAGACGGCGAAGAAAAAACAAAAAGTACAAGAGACACGGTGAAGACGAGCTCCAGAGTGTCGCTCGCAGGCAAAGAAGAACTATACGTGTCTGAATCGCGCACTGGGTCGTTTCGAGCAGCAAGGAAGAAGAAGAAGAAGAAGAAGAAGACGAAAGAAGACGACGACGATCAAGAAGAAGAAGAAGAAGAAGAAGAAGAAGAAGAAAAAGATAGAAGAATATATATAGATATATTTCTCATTCGCGATATCCTGACTCTGTTCTCCAAGTTGAAAAACACACGGACGCAAACGCGAGCGTTCTCCAACAACGTTTGTGCGTTTGCGTGTCGTTTGCTTTTGTGCTGTAGGCAGAGAGAGAGAGAGAGAGAGAAAGAGAGTCTCTCCTCTCGAGAAGGGGGGAAAGCCCCAACGTTTCAGGAGCGGTACTCCAGGGGCCACTGTTGCAGGTAAGAGAATCGAGAGAATCGAATGCTAGTCGCGATCGCACCTTCGTACCTGCAATACCTGAATACGCTCTCGTTACACAAACAGGTACGTCGTTAATTCCACGAGAAGCGAAAAATAATAGAAAAAAATAAATCTCCATTTTTCCCACGAAACGTCGCGCGTTTTTTGTGTTCACCATTCTTCATTTTTTCAGAAGTTTACTACTTTTGTTATTTGCAAAAATTTCTTTGCAAATTATCATCCGAGTTGTATACATAGTTCTCTTTAGAGAGAAAATTATATTAACAGTAAACTGTTTACATTTCCTTTTTGCAGATTATTGCAAGCAAAGTGAATTTTCCTTCTCTTTATACAAATATTGTTGTCTCTATTATTTTCCGAGAAAATGAGAAAAAAAATTATTTTTATTTCTGGTGCACTTATTGAAATTATGATACAGTGATTTTGTGCGGATCCAAAAATGGACAACTGACCCAAATGTCCTTCTACTTCGATTTCAAAGGTTTGAGAAACAAGTTTGCAATTTTTTTTTTTTCATTCACAGAGGACAAATAAGTGATAAACTGATTGAAATTTAATGTGCAAAAAGGTAAAAGTTATTGACAAATTTTTAGCAAAATAGAAACAAATACAAAAGTCAAAACAAAATAAAGAAATAAAATAAGAAATCAAAAAAATTAGCCATAAAGTTAGAACGTATTTTTAGCAAAATAGAAACAAATACAAAAGTAAAAACAAAATAAAGAAACCAAATAAGAAATAAAAAAAATTAGCTAAAAATTTAGCAAAATTTGTTTAAAACTTTTAGTAAAATAAAAATAAATACAAAAGTAAAAACAAAATAAGAAATAAAAAAAATTATAGACAATAATTTAGACCGAATTTTTAGCAAAATAGAAACAAATATAACAGTAAAAACAAAATAAAGAACGAAAATAAAGAAACAAAAATAAGAAATAAACGAAATTACTTAAAAATTTAGCAAAATTTGTTTGAAACTTTTAGTAAAATAGAAAAAATACAAAATTAAAAACAAAATAAGAAATAAAAAGAATTAGACAATAATTTCGACCGTATTTTTAGCAAAATAAAAACTAATTACCAAAGTAAAAACAAAATAAGAAATAAAAAATTAGCAAAAAATTTAGAATTTATTTTTAGCAAAATAGAAACAAATGCAACAAACAAAAAAAAAAAAAACAAAATAACAAATTGAAAAAATTAGAAAATATTTTGAATTTATTTTTAGCAAAATAGAAACTAATTACCAAAGTTAAAACAATATAAGAAATCAAAATTAAAAATAGAAAATTAGCAAAAATTTTAAATGTATTTTTAGCAAGATAGAAACAAATGCAACAAAAAAAACAAACTAAGAAATAAAAAAATTAATTAAAAATTTAGAATATTATTTTTAGCAAAATAGAAACAAATAAAAAAGTAAAAATAATATAAGAAATCAAAATTAGAAATAAAAATTTAGCATAAATTTTGAATGTATTTTTAGCAAAATTGAAACAAATACAAAAGTAAAAACAAAATAAATAAAGAAAATAAAGAAACAAAATAAGAAATAAAAAATTAGTCTAAAGTTTAGAACGTATCTTTAGCAAAATAGAAACAAATGCAGAAAGCAAAATAATAATTTTAAAAAATTAGACGCATAGAAAAGGAAATAAAAATAAATAAAACGTATTTTTAACAAAATAAAATTAAAAAATTTATTATTTATTAAAAATTAAAATTTATTATTTATTATTTTAGTAAAAGAACCAAATACAGAAAAGTAAACAAACTTTTAAGAATAATTCGGATTATTTTTCCAAAAAAGAGAAAGAATCAGTGAAATTGAAAATGGTTCAACTTTCACTGAAGCACATGTGAGAAAACATGAAGGTTAATCAGTTTTCTAATTTCGATGTTTACGAGTTGGAACGAAAGTTTTGAAAAAAGAAAAAAAAAGATTGCACATTTTTTTATATTTACGATTATTATCATTAATAAAAATAAGAAAGAAAAAATGAAGGGGAAAAAGGAAAATGTTGCCGTTATAACTTTATGTAATTCTGGTAATGATCATTTATGTCTTCATTAAAATATCTTACATATGGAAATGTTTATAATTTAAAAGTCTCAATTTGGATTCATTTTTTCTTTTTTTCTTATCTCTCTCTCTCTCTCTCACTCTTTCTTGATGCTTGCATCATTTCTCTGTTTTACATTAACATAATATGATTGATGAACACTGTGAAGTCATCATTATAATCAAAATATGAGAATTGGAACAATTGACTCTCATTTTACTTTCTAATTTTTTGGCTATATAGCAATACACTGTACAGTGTGTATTTGTATAAATATAGCAACAATATAATGTAGCATTCAGAAGGACATTCTCTACTTTAGCAATTTTTTTTTAATTCTTTCAACCTCCGCTGAATATTCAATGAATATTTTATTTACAATGTGGGTGTTTGTGTGGAAATTATCGAATTATACTAAAAACTCTTCTTTCTCGATTACGTGTTTTTACATTGTTTTTCTTATTTAGTTTTCTAATTGTTGCAATAGTTTTAATTATCCATTTTTTACCTACTGTTTGAATAGTGTTTACTTCAGGTTAATTAATATAATTTTTTATAATAATTCTTGTTTTTTTTTAAACATTTACACTGGAACAAAATTCATTTGAATCAAATAACCGATTACTTGACTATTTATCAATTAAATAATAATTATACTTAATTCAATTAATTTTTATTTGAGTCAATTAAAATTGAATTTTCTACAAATACTGGAATTATTGATTCAAATAATTATTGCTGCAAATTTATTTAATTTAAATAAAAATTATTTAATTCAAGTAAATATTTATTAGATAATAGACAAGTTATTTGTCTTAAATTTTTTAAATTGGTTATTTGAATCAAAATAATTATTTTTTCAGTATATTATTATAAATATTATTTATTATTATTATTTTTATTTATTATTTACTATTTATTATTCGCTATTTATTATTTATTATTAATTTATTACAGTAGAAATTGTCGGAATGTGACTGAATTCAATTTTCTTACAGTAAAAATAATGTTTAAAAAATCATTATATAATGTTTCGTAATATTTTTACAATATTCTGGAACTGACGAGTGATAAAATGAGCGACAATAATTTTTTGTTACTTTTTTTATTGATTTGTCATTTTATTAAAAAAACATTCTTTTCTACATTTTAAAAAAAGTAATTTCTAACTAAATGAATTTTAATTTTAAATATTGTTTTTCATTTCAGTATTTTTTGTAATATTCGGAAAAAATATTTTTTTTAATAATTATTTTTAATTTAAACTCAGTAAACTAAGAGACATTAAAAAACATTGCAACTTAAATTAACACTAAAAAAGATTTAATCAATTATTTAAATACAAAAATAAATAATTTATTGAATATTTCATTATTTCTTAAATTTTTTCTTTAATTTTGTATAAAGAATTTTATTAAAATTATTGAAAATAATTGAAATTTTGCAAAAAAATTTATCAAAATATTTAAGAACAATTAAATTCTGTAACTTTATCAAAATTGTATTCAAAATAATTGAATTCTTATAAAAAACATCATTATTTATGTAAATAATTGAATTCTTGTTTGATATGAATTGAATTTTATTAAAAAATTTTTTAAATAATTCAATTCTTTTGGGAAATTTTCAAATTTTATTAAAATAGAATAGTAGATAATGAAAATAATTAATTTCTTGAGGATAATTTTATTTAAATTTTCAATATTTCAATTAGTATGAAATGAATTTTACTATTTGTAAAAATAATTATATTATTGCGAAAAATTTTATTATTTTTGAAAATAATTTTATAAATTTTATAAAAAGTCACATTCTAATGTATTTATTTTTTTAGTGCAAAGATTAATTATTAAATTTTTTATCAGTTAATTTCAAAAAAGATACACACTTAAAATTTTTTAATAAAATTGAATTTTCGCAAAGTTTTTTTGAAAATTCAGAAAAATAAGATTTTTGAAATTTTTCAATTCTATTGTTTCGAGATAATTGACTTTTTCTAAACAAATAATTGAGATTTTTTGAAATAATTGAAATTTCTTTACACTCTATTAAAAATATCTAAATTCTTTTAAAGAATTTTATTTAAATTTTTCGAAAATAATCAAGGAAAATTAGTCACCGTAATTATAATTTTATTTTCAAAAATTTCTTCGCAATATATTCAATTATTATTTTCATGAATAGTAAAACTTACTGCGGAATTTCAATTATTTTTAATACAATTTTAATCGAATTCCTCGAAAAATTTAATTATTCTTAAAAATTTTATTAAAATTCGTCGAAAGAATTGAATTATTTCTAGAAACTGTAAAAAAATTCTTCTCAAGAATTCAATTGTTTCCATAAATAGCAAAATTCTTCAGATTTACTAAATTCTTTTGAATATTATTTTTAAATAAAATTCTTCACAAGAATTCAATTATTTTCATAAATTTCCATAAAATTCTTCGCAAAAATTCAATAGCGATTAAAATTTTTTTTAATTCTCCTCAAAATTTCAATTATCTTTATAAATAATTAAATTGTTCTCCACAATTCAATTATTTTCAAAAATTTTAATAAAATTCTACGCAAACATTTAATTATTTTCATAAATAATAAAATTCTTTGTAAGGATTCAATTACATTTATAAATAGTAAAATTCTTTGCAGAAATTCAATTAGTATCAATATATTTTAATAAAATTGAATTAATTAAATTTTCAATTATAATTATGAACAGACAAGATTATTTTAAAAAATTGAAAAAGTTTTTTGTTTAATTCAATTATTTTCTAAATTTTTCATTAAAATTATTAAAAACACATTATTTTCGAAAAATTTAAAGAAACTTGTCAAAAAATTTATTTATTCGTAAAAACTATAATAAAAATTTTGGGAGCCAATAATTGTAGATTTATTTATGTTCGAAATTAAATAAATTTTAATTTGATGAGAAAAAAAATCGGTAAAAATTAGGAAAAAGCCGAGAATTTTGTTGAACGAAAATAGTAGACCAGATTAAACAAATAAAAAGATAAAAATAAAAATTGTAATTGATTATCGTAAAGCAAAAATCACCTACAAATTTCTAATTGATTGCGTAATGTTTTGATTAAAAAACGAATATTAAAGAAAAAAATACACCTGTGTCACATTATGCAAAACAAATATTTGGTTATGGGACTATTTCCTGGTGGGTTAAATCATCCGAGGAGGAGAAAAAATAAGAGAGAAAAAAACGATTGATTGATGAATGGAAACACTTGTTTGGCAAATTGTATTACGTGTCTGTTATCGGATTTTGTATATACTATATATGTATATATATATATATAAAGGATCGGGATGAACTTTGTTTTGGTTGAAGTGGTTTTTCGAGAGATAAAGATATGGCATTCTATATAGTGGTACCGAAGAGAATCTGCAAGGATCGAGG